CATTTTTTTTTTTTATTATTTTTAATGGAAAGAGAATACATACACGTGTTAAGTTTAGCACTAATGAATGCTAATTGTGTACTGTAAAAAGGAGCTACATCACATTCTTTCAAAAAAGTAAAAAACATTTGCAGAAAACTGTAGATAATGGAAGAAAAATGTTTGCGTACCTACTTATACAGAAATTTCTACCCAAAAATCTAAGTAATGAAGTGTATGAGTTCATTAAAATTGCACTTTTGCAAACACTACAGCAACTTACATTTAAACTTAACTTTTCATTTGTTCCTAAATTTGAAAGTGTGGTCAAAAAGTAAACTACAAATAAGAACACAGAAAATTGCAGGTACCATCAACTTCTATCACAAAAAACCCCGATGCTGCCTATTTTATATAATGTGACACTTAAAGCAAACGCGGCACAAATATCTGTCTTTAGTTTTTCTACTTGAAAAAAAGTAAATTTATTGTTGCTGGCAGGATGATATGGATGAAATAACCAGGATGAATTGAGGGGGGGAAGGGGAGAAAGAGGAGCCAAGAAATCAGATACATTCAATGAGCCTTCAAACTCACTTCAGCAGTAGGGATAAATAATTTAATCAACTCAGCTTCATTTTTTTCCTAGCTCCCTAGCGCAATAGGCAGATATTAAAAAATAAAACTTTAAAATTCATGAGCAGTTGTGTGTGGAAGAACTATCACTGTATAATAAGAAATATAAAGTGATATCAACGTGAGCGCTTTGTGTGTATATGCATCTGCACGTGCATTTTAACTCACACTTTTCACCATATGAAAAGGAATTATTGGTGAAATTTATATATGGCAACTTCCCCCCCCCCCCCAATAGCATTCTCTTCTAACCATAGCTGCACCCCCCCCCCCCCCCCAATTACATTTTGGGGGCATGGGCGAGTACCTGCAGTCAAAGATTTTCAACACCATTTGGCTTTTTGGCTAACATGAGCACCACACGACAAGGCACTGTAGTTTGAAAGATTTGAAATAACAAGCAGAGTTCAACAAATGCTGCTATAGTACCCCCTAATTAGGGAAAAATATCTAGAAAACAGTAATTTGGTAAAAGTCACCAATATCATATGGTACCATTATCATGACAAATGATCAATCATCATTTTAATGAGGTGATTTTAATCTCAATTTTCCAGAACAACTCAATACATATAAAAATAAAACTCAGTGATGAAAAGGTGTTCCTTCCTTTTATAATTTATGAATGACACATTAATAATTACAGAGAAAAACTAACTGCAGTAAGTGGTCAGAAGCTTCGAAAATATTCATATTTTATATCATATGTAGTCAGAGAGATAACCATTTTCAGAATCTAAACCAAACCACCGACTTCTTGCCATGCTAAACGATCGGGTCACATTAGCAGTTACATTTCAGTGGTTCACTGGTGTCAGCGATGCCTAAATCCACAAATTTTCAAATTATCAAATGTTTATTGTGTATATGTGAAATGAAATGGTGTAGTGAAGTTAATAGCAACCCTTAGTGCTAAACAACACCCAGCCAAGGCTAGGGTTAATATTTCCCTTAGCCACCAAGATACAATAAATACGTATAACCTGCATTACTCGATATCATAGGTTAATCTTAGCATTACATATTGAAAGCTCTGATTTAGGATATAAGACGCAATTTTTATTTAAATTAATTCTGCCACATTATGAAAATTAAGACTATTGACAGCTTAAAGGTACGACGTGTCGCCTTTTGCCTTTAGAGACTGGATTTACTGAGCTAAAACCCACGGGGCAAAAATAAACAAAACCTGGCCTGAAACATTGCCATCGTTAACGCGTAGCCCTGGTGCAGCTGAAGCGATGAGAAGCCGAACCGGGGCCGGCGTGCCCCCTCCGCAGGAAAGGGCTGTTCCCCTTGGCGGAGATGGGAGGAAGGGACAACCTTTTGTCCGCCCGCTTTAACTTTCGTTTTTACACGGCGCTGGTATGTAACCTCACGGGGAAGGAGCTCTTTCTTATTTAAATCGCAAAGAAGCCGCCCCCGACGAGGCAGGGCCGGAGGTTTCGCGCCGGCCGGCTCC